CACTATTCATCTAGAGCTGTGTAGCGTAGTGGTTAGCATGTTGGCCTCAAAAAGAGAAAAAAAAAAAAGCATGTCGGCCTCAAAGGTAAATCACAATCAGGATTTTTATTGCTAGGGTTCGAACCCAGCCAGTAAACCACATTACATGTTGATAAGAGAAAAATTTTTCCCGAGAAATTTTCCTCCAAAATGGTGTTTTGTTTTTTTTATCATAATTTCATTAATTTCAATAATGAGAACTTTAAATGCTAAATTCACGAATTGAATACGATTTATATATTATTAATATCTGAAGCTATATAGGCATTCTGCACGCCTTGTTCACCCATCTTTCTATGATGATCAAAATTCTCAATTTTTTCACACTCTCCTCATAGATCTACTTGATTTTTAAAAATTTTTTGGACATTACTGAAAAATTTTGAATATAAATTAAAATTTGCATGGTTAAAATTATTTATTTTACTCACATAAACATAGATTTAGTATCTTCTTTTTGATGATTTTGAAATAAAGTTTGTTTGTAGCAAGTGGCCTTAATGTGGAAAATACATGCCAATAAAGTGATCATTTTATCCTTGGCCTAATAAAATGTTAACAATGCTTGAGTTGATAACAAATTGAGTACTAGTATAACAATGTATATTTCAATTTAATGTATTTTACATCTAACGGTTGATCAATCTATCTGCATAAATATACAAGGATTAGAACTCTTGTGTGCAGTGTGTAAGGGGCCCTTAATACAATACATTCCAAAGCACAAAAATCCGTTTCCATACGATAAATGTTTATCTTACTTTTAGTGTTATTGCTCATAAAGCTTTAAATTACATATATAGAATTAACTAAAAAGCAAATTTCTAAAACAAAATAAAATTCTCAAAAATACAGCTCATATATAGCCTATTGCTTAAAACTTCCAATTTGCAAAATTCTCAAAAATACAGCTCATTTATATTGCTTAAGGTCAAGTTCTAGTAAATGACTTTAGAATAGATTTTTAGTGCTAGATCCATTATGACGTCATAATCAATTTTAACTTTATTATTCCCGTACTTTACGGCTCTAGTAGAATTTTGTAGAAAATAAAGTACTTTCATGGAATTCAATTTGAAATCATGTGAAAAGTTATCCCGGAACCTATATTTAATTTAATATTATTTTAAAGAAGAGGCCAAGAACATATAAATTATCGTTTTCTGAGAGACTGTAGGCAATCTGGATGCATTTCTTTGTCTGATATGGAAAAAAACTCCCATATTCATGACTGGTTTTCTTAATTTTTCATTGAAAATAACAGTTCAAAATGTTATGTTTCGTCTTGTTCATCTACAAATTATGCCCCAAAACACCTTATTTGACCAAGCTAAAGTTATAAAGCACCATTAAAAGAATTTATTTCTTAAATTTGAGAAATCTGTAGGCCCCTTTCATTTACTAGATCTTGACCTTAAAACTTCCAATTTGCTACACTGTTACTCTTAAAAAAGTTGGAAATGTGTGTGTGTGTTTTTCTTTAAATTCATGCAGTGTTGAATTGGAAACGCTTCTACATTCGTTAAATATGAATAATTAAACGAAGAATGAAGGTCCAGAACAAAGAGTTTTGCATATGCTCGGTAGGCCCGTCGAAAAGGGGGGGGGGGGTAATTTTGTCGGTATATACCCGATATATTCTTTACTATAGAAAGCATAGCTTTAATTAATAATTTGTGCACCCTCAAAAATTTTGCTAGCATTAACTATACATTAGAAAACAAATATAATTTATGGTTGTGCCCCCCCCCCCACTTCAATATAAAATGGAAGTTCAGTCCTTATTTTTGAGGAGGGCACAACCATAAATTATCTTTGTTTTATTATTAGATATTAACCTAGGTAGAAAGTCTGTAGGAGCATTATGAATGACATTAATTTTGAAGTTTATTTTATTATACTAGTAGCTCGCGTTGAACAGAAATTTTTCTGTCATATTACGGAATTTTTTTTAACAAGGTTGACGTCTGAAAATTTATGTCACATCAACACTCCCAATATTTCATATTTAAGCACTGTATTTGGGGTGGGGAGGGGGTTTTAGGGTGTGTATTTGTGCTTTTTCTTTCTTTTTTAAGCTTATGACATATCCACGGTGTCCAAGTTATAGGAGCAGGTGCATTTCAAAGCCCTATTGTGACCTAACTTGCAATATATCCAGGGGTACACACTAACAAGGCCAAGTAACTGCTTCGGTTTGCCCAATGTGACTTGATTACAATTCCCTGATAATTGACCAGGTTTAAGGTTTTTGGAAGAGGTCTTTTTCCAAGTAACAATAGCCCTATGGTGACCACACTGAATTATAGATGCACGCTATAGCTACCAGGCTTATGTCCTTTCTGACATATTTCATTTTGTCAAATAAAATCTGCAACATGAAAATAGTCATGTTGCAGATTTTATTTGACAAAATGAAATATGTCAGAAAGGACACTTGCTTCAGATGATGAATTCCATATGAGTGACCTCGTTAATAGATTTTTTTGGGAGCAGGTTCATTACCAAGTAACTATAAGACGTCCCCTGACCAAACTTAAATTAATGATAACCAAACTTCATTGGACGATGCATCAAGCTTTTGGAGCAGGTCCTTTCGCAAGTACATATTTAACTATAAACCTTCTGTGATGTTGCATGTAGAAATGCGTAATACCAAACCTGCTTCTAGTGTGCATCTAATATACATTTCAGGCGATTGAACAGTTCAAGTTTTTGGAGCAAGTCACTCCCCGGGTAACTATAAATCCTACCCAGATCAAACTTGCAAAGATGTATCTTATGAAACTTTGCCTTACTTGTGTATAACATATATTTTCTTACATAGTTATGTTTCAATAAAAATCGCAAAACGCTCTCATCCTACAGAAAAGTAAAGATATCACTTGGAAACCATTTTACGTATCATTTGAAATTTTTAATTTGAACTTTTGACCTCGAAATCAATAGAGATATTTTTTTAAGTTCAGGGTAGTTATGATATAAGGTTTAAGTACTCTTTAGATATCATCCAGAATTGAAATTGTTAATTACAGACAGTATGACCCCTCTTTAATGAAAGCGAGGAAAACAAACTGCCATATTGAGTCGTAAAATAGGTTATCTCCATGTATGTCTACCAATGCTTTACTCTGTACATGCATTTAGTCACATAATTTAAACAAAAATCTCCTGCAGGGAATAAGGTGCTTCTTTTCATCTGATCAAGCAGTGCCCATGCAGTGTCAATATTTTTATTTGCCTCAATATTTTATCTCCAAGACATGTTATTCTTTGTCCTCTTTCCCTCTGCAATGGTAGATATCTCTCTTATTCCGCAGTAGTAGATATATATCGCTCTCTCTCTCTCTCTGCAATGGTAGATATCTCTCTCTGAAATGGTAGATATAAATTGCTCTCTCTCTGCAATGGTAGATATATATTGCTCTCTCTCTCTCTCTCTTTTTCTCTCTCTCTATGCAATAGTAGATATCTCTCTTGTTCTGCAATGGTAGATATAAATCACTCTCTCTGTGCAATGGTAGATATCTCTCTGTGCAATGGTAGATATCATTCTCTCTCTGCAGTGGTAGATGAATCTCTTTCTCCTCTGATGGTATAGAATGCTAGTCATATACGACATGTACATCGAAAATTCACGCTATTCCGAGAAGTTAAAAACTCTAAATACTTTCCTGAAAATAAACTATCACTTAAAACACTTTAAGTATCTCTCAAATTTGAGAGAAAAATATTATCTTAAAAAATTCCAAGTATTATGGAAGTTAGAGATATGTAAAGGAAAATAATATTTAAGATAAATTGCAGTTAGTGAAATAAAAAATTTGGGAAAGATGACAATTTGTTTGATTTTTGATTTATTACAGTTAAGCCATTTTTTGTACACTTAACCTTTTAATTGCAGATCAAATCGTATGTGATGCAATACCCGTGTCTGAGCTCAGCATGTTCATTTGTTGCTGTGAAAAGTCTTTCTGTCGCGGTAATTTTCAGACAATAATACAATATGTGCATAGCAGGTCTTTATGATTTTATAGCAGAAAGAATAGCATACAGCCATACAATTTGCATCAGAAATAGTTGGATCTCTTCCATAAAGCAGGACTTTTTGTACATGTATATGTGCACACGGTAACAGCAAGTCAAACCTACTTCCATGGGATTGAACTGAAGAGACCTGTGCAATCCCGTTATTTGGACAATAATGCCTTTTTGTTTCAACAATGAACATTAATCATCATATTGCATAAACTTGTGAAACTTTGCCATAAATTACAAAACATTATATCAAAACAACACAGTACATTGGGTAAGACGTGTAAGCTGTACATGGTGACGTAGGAGTCGGGGATAATCTGTGCTGAGGGGGGTAAACATACTGGATATAAGATTTACAGTGGATTATCCTTGTATCCTAATAGAAAGAGAGCAACGACATGTCCTTAATAGGCGATTTCCCAGTGCTTGTGAAATGGGCGTAGTATGTAAATGTAACCTAGTCTGAAATATTTTAAAACTCTGCAGTATGTACATGTAGTTGCTTTTTCACCCTTGGCTTATTATGTTTAATGGCCAATTCTGGGACTAGTCCTCATGAACGTTAGCCAATCCTGGGACTATGTTGTTAATCACAAGAGTGGTCCTAATTATGTTAGCCAATCCTGGGACTATAGAGTGGTCCTAATTATGTTACCTAATCCTGGGATTATACTGTTGATCAAGAGTAGTCTTAAACAGCCACAATATATCTTCAAGTTTATTTTTTGTGTGGAGTCAATTCACACTTTTAAAGAATTTCAGTGCTTAACTACCAGAACTTCTACAAACTTTTCTACAAAAGTTCATGAGAGAGAGAGAGAAAGAGAGAGAATAACAGATCACAACATGAAGGTAGACCTTGTCTACTGCATGCTGATAAAGTAGAACAAACTACAAAGGAGATTCCAGCAAAAAAATAACAAGAGAGTCAAAACAATTTTATTGTATAAACAAAATGAGGTGATGAAAAATGCAACTACTTCAATAATATAATGCCTTCATAGCATTTTATCACTTTTATATAGTCTTCTGAATTAAAAACATCTTTACATATACATAGAATATTAATCATATCACATAAGATTTTTGTTTATTTATACACATTTAACAGTATATACAAATAAGTTAACCAATAAAAAAAAATCACCAGAGTTCAAAGGTCAGATGGAAGATTGTAGGCTGCCCAAAAGGTTGAAAGATCCAATCAGATAAGAGGCTGTACAACAACAAATTTCTGGTTGGTTGCATGATTTGCACACAATACTGAGAGTGAATGCCATTGGAGGAGAGTGCTGTCCAGTGATTGGTCAGAGCCTTAGTTTCCACCCTTACCTGTGCTACAGTTAACGGCTGGCGTAGTCTGATTGAGGGGGGTGGTGGATTTTGTTGTGTTGTTGTTTGTATTACTGCTTTCCTTTGACTTCTCTAATGCTTCTTTCCGTTTCCTTTCCTCAGCATCTAAAATAAGGTTACATTATTTAATCATCACTTTTCATAACTCAAACTTTTTTTTAAAAATAAATTCCACACATGTATTTTTCTCTTCCTCAACAAAAGCCTAAGTTATCATCAGCTGACCTGGATGGCATGATCTTAATCAAAATTTTGATACTTTAATATAATGAGCTTAAAATACAACTTGGCTGTGTTCAAGATCATGGGTATCTTAGCCTGGCTGCTATGTCTACTGAACTTACTGCATTAGATTGTGATTTCCCTATGTAGTGGCTAGACTAGCATATGAATCAATGCTTGATATTGCTATGTATTGGCTAGACTAGCATATGAATCAACACTTGATTTCCCCATGTGATGGCTAGACTAGCATATGAATCAACGCTTGATATTGCTATGTATTGGTTAGACTAGCATATGAATCAACACTTGATTCCCTATGTAGTGGCTAGACTAGCATATGAATTAACACTTAATTTCCCTATGTAGTGGCTAGGCTAGCATATGAATTAACACTTAATTTCCCTATGTAATGGCTAGACTAGCATATGAATTAACACCTGAATACTAATTAATGCTTGATTTCCCTATGTAGTGGCTAGGCTAGCATATGGATTAACACCTGAATACTAATTAATGCTTGATATCCCTATGTAGTGGCTAGGCCAGCATATGAATTAACACCTGAATACTAATTAATGCTTAATTTCCCTATGTAGTGGCTAGACTAGCATATGAATTAACACCTGAATACTAATTAATGCTTGATTTCCCTATGTAGTGGCTAGACTAGCATATGAATTAACACCTGAATACTAATTAATGCTTGATTTCCCTATGTAGTGGCTAGACTAGCATATGAATTAACACCTGAATACTAATTAATGCTTGATTTCCCTATGTAGTGGCTAGGCTAGCATATGAATTAATGCTTGATATCCCTAAGTATAGTGGCTAGGCTTGCATATAATTTAACGATGATTGATATCCCCATGTTGTGGCTGGGTTAGCACATGAATAAATGCTTGATATCCCCAAGTAGTAGCAATTCGTTCATGATCATAGCTCTGAGAAGCTGGTACAATCCTGAACACAGTCCTGAATTAATTAAATCAATGATTACAATGCTATTCCCTAACAAGATCTCAGCATTTCATTGCACCACAACTTAGACCTTATGGACAAGATCTGTAGTAAAATTAATCACATAGTATTAAATCAATGGCAGCAATACATGACTGAATTCATGCCAATCAATGGTTAAACAATTATAGCAGGGATACAGTATTTTTTTAAATACGATTTTATACCCTCATAACCTAGCGACTAGAACTTCATACTGAAATTCATCCCAGGCAACATTGTAAGCGATCGATGGAAAGTCACAATAGTTTGTCCCAAATAATGAATTTACAATTTCAGTAACTTGAGAACAAAGACAGCTTGGCACAGGGGTACTGTAAAGACAAAAATACTATGGCAGACTTGCTCCAATACCAAACACAAATGGAAGAAGCCCCCAAAAAGTTGATGAACAGAATGCCTTGATGAACAGAATGCCTCATGACACTAAAACCTGGATTGCCACCAGGCAATCAAGTTTGAGTGCAAAATGAAATGTTCCAAAATCAAACAAAATATCTAATACCAGAGTGACCTTGACTTTTGAATTGTGATGATCTTCAGAAGATGGACATGATCAAGAATTTGACAAGAGGCCAAATGGCCTAGAATTGTTCATCTGAAAATTGCACACGTGTCAATGTGACCTATTTCTGAACTAGCAAATCTCAAGGCCCCAAGACCATAACACATCATCTGATAGAGTTTGAGGATTTTAAGTCTCTTAGAATCTGAAATATTTAATAAAATGCTTTAAAAAATGAAAAGCTGTAAATTCATGAAGTAGGTCACTGTGACTTACTGACAGTACAAATGGCCACAGCATTACTCTTTGAGTCTTTGACTCAGAGTAGAGTCAAAAACTCATTTCACTCAAAGACTTGTTAGTGATAGTCTCTGTGATCCTCCCCATCTAGTTGGGGGTGGAATGTAGGAGTGGGGCTTGATTTGTGGTATTTCAAAAGAATTCTGACACAGCATCTGAAACATCTCCCTGTACTGTATATAGACTTACCTTTGGCAGCCTGCTCTTTCCAGCGGATTTTATTGTCTGCCAAACAATCTGCCCATGGGGTGTTCAGTGCATATTTACCTTTAAAGATCAAAATAAAACATCTGTGTGCTTATGAAGTTACAGAAAAATATAGAACGAGATAGAGGTACATCTCATTTACTGTACTGGTAACAAATTCATTTCATTTTTTTAATTATACACATTTTATTTTTCAGCTGAATAATGCATTAAAATAGAATTAAAATGCAGTAGCCCTTTTCACAAAAGATTTTACAATTAATTTTCATGATTTTCACAAAAATTCTTGCAAGATTCTTATGTGTTTAAAATTTGTCATTACTTTCTGCAAGCTCTAGCACTCTTATAGAGCCAATTTTAAATTGAAAAACAAGAGGCCCATGGGCCACATCGCTCACCTGAGCACATTGGCTAGGAAAAAAAGCAAAAATCAGTTCAGTATTGAAAAGTTAATGGGGGAGAAAGGGGGGAGGGGGGGGGTGAGGGATTTTAAACTACCTAACAATGCTTTCATATCAATATAACAAATGACTTTGCTGTTCTTGAGCAGCAGATTTTTTCCCATATATTCATTTGTAAAAATTTGATCCCCCATTGTGGCCCCACCCTACCCCTGGGGGTGCTCATTTCAAAAAATTTCATTTTATACTACCCAACGATGCTTCCATATCAATTTGACTAATCATGGCTTTTCTGTTCTTGAGAGAAAGATTTTTTCCTATATATTCCTCTGTAAACTTTGATCACCCATTGTGGCCCCACCCTACCTCCGGGGGTCATGATTTGAACAAACTTGAATCTACACTAGCTGAGGATGCTTCCACATAAATATGACCAATCATGTCTTTGCTTATCTTGAGAAGAAGATTTTTAAAGTTTTTTTTTCTATATACTCTTATGAAAAATTTTGACCCCCCCCCCCCATTGTGGCCTCACCCTACCCCCGGGGGTCATTATTTGAACAAACTTGAATCTACACTACCTGAGGATGCTTCCATATAAATATGACCAATCATGGCTTTGCTGTTCTTAAGAAGAAGATTTTTAAAGATATTTTCCTATATATTTCTATGTAAAACTTTGATCCCCCATTATGGCCTCACCCTACCCCCGGGGGTCATGATTTGAACAAACTTGAATCTACACTACCTGAGGATGCTTCCATATAAATATGACCAATCATGGCTTTGCTGTTCTTAAGAAGAAGATTTTTAAAGATATTTTCCTATATATTTCTATGTAAAAATTTTGATCCCCCATTGTGGCCCCACCCTACCCGCGGGGGTCATGATTTGAACAAATTTGAATCTACACTACCTGAGGAGGTTTCCACATAAGTTTCATCTTTCCTGGCCCAGTGGTTCTTGAGAAGAAGATTTTTAAATGATGCCATTATTTTTTCACTAATTCCTAATTATCTCCCCTTGAAAGAGGGCATGGCCCTTCATTTGAACAAACTTGAATCCCCTTCACCCAAGGATACTTTGTCGCAAGTTTGGTTGAATTTGGCCCAGTGGTTCTTGAGAAGAAGATGAAAATGTGAAAAGTTTACAACAACAACGACAATGACAACAACGACGACAGACAACGGACAAATTTTGATCAGAAAAGCTCACTTGAGCCTTTGGCTCAGGTGAGCTAATAACAGATAAAACCTAAATAAATGTTTAATGGGACTTTTTCATGGATCCTATGATAGCATTTTATATCATTTCCCAAATATTGTCGAAAAATTAAATATACAGGTGACTCTCGATGGCTCAAACGCTATTCTCTCTAAGTTCTTGATCACTTGAAGTGAAACCCCTGTCCATTTTTTCCTCTACATAAAAAAAACAAACAAATGTACACCAGATCTCTCGATGTTATCTTTCTCTCAAACGAAGACCAGAGTCCCATTACACAGATTTCACTTTTTTTTAAACTCCTGATCTCTGGAAGTGTTGACTGCACATACACATCAATCAAGCATTGTAATTAATTCAGCTTCAACTTACCTAGGTAACAGTAATACCTGGCGCTAGCTTGGATATAATAACTGGACGTTTTAAATAGGTGACAATACAACTGTGCATTGCTGAGGGTTAATAATTAATGGACTTTTTGAAAAACAGATAGCCGTTCACCACTGATTTTGATATGACAGTCATTAGATGATAATGAGAAACTAATTTAGATGCAGGTCAAGAAATTCATAAATTACCGTATTCCATTTCTGTGCAAGAGTAAGAAAACCATTGCACAAATAATCTGAATAATTGAATAGCTATATAGAGCAATCTGCAGGGGAAGATGGGGTGTTTTATTTGCAACAAACACCATCTGAGCGTAGTAACGAAATGAAAACAAAGAAATATTGAAATTGAAAGATCTTTCTCTTATTTAATCAACAGATACGATCTTTGTTGTTGAATTCAAGTGAATTACCAGTAATATGCATATGAAAATGAGCCAGAATGTTTTCAACAAATACTTCCGTTAAACATAATAAAAGAATGATATTGACCGAACCTGAAAATTTCAGACTTCTTTCCTCTTTTGATCACTCGAACCCCTCAATCTCTTGAACATTTTTTTAAGGTTCCTGTGAACTTTGAGAGATCTAGAGTCACCTGTACTGCAAAATATTTACGATGGCACATTTCTCTTAAGATATTTGTATGACCTACTTTTATGTCAGACTTGTGATTTTCACATCAGATTTAAATCTTACTCGCTTCACAATCGATCGCACTCAATTTTTGTTGTTCATAATGGCTATAAATTTACTTACAAGTGTTGAAAAGTACTCATGATTTGTTGCAAGAGATTCTTAAGTTAAAATCTTACCCTAAAAATTAAAGATTTTTTGTGAAAAGGGCTACAGAGAAATTAGTTACGCAGGCTAAATACTTCTGCAATTCAAACGGAATTTAAATGATCCCTCCAACAACACCAAACTAAAGAGTTAAAACTTTTCTTCATAATGCACAATATATATACACTACATAGGCATGACAATACTTATTAACATATTCAGGTCAGATACATAAAATTCTTGGGGGGAAAACAAAATAGCAACAGTATTATTACTGTAATAAATTACTATCCCCCCCCCCCCCCCCAACCAACCAACCAACCAAAAAAAAAAATAAATAAAAAATAAAAACAGAATTTGGTTTTGATGACAAATGAATTGAAAGTGCTGCCAACCAAATCCAAGCTTGAGTACATGTAGCAGATACACCAGACAGTGTGGTTACCTGTCTTTCTGGATTTCTCCCTATTAGACACTCGATGTAATGAATTTGTACTCGTACTTTTGTCTGCTGTGTCAAAGACTTCCTCAGTGATGGCGTCTTCTGAGCGGGCAGCCTTCTGTAGTGGAGTCAGAATCTTCTCCAACATTTCTGTCATCACCGTAAAGCTTGGGTCCACAATGAAGTCAATAAAACCTAACAACAATCCAAATATAGGGTCATTAAAAATAAACAAAGAATTCAAATGATGGAGTTGATGAAAGTGATCAACAAATAAAAATCATAAGTCTATAAAACCTACAAGTAAAACAAACAAAAACATTCATCACCAAATACTTTACTCTAACCCCCCCCCCCCCCCCCCCCAATCTTAGTCCAAACGTCAATTGGATCAACTTCTGAAGAACATTTTCTCATTTCTCAAACATGATTAGTGTGGCCATAAATTTTCCTCTATAGTCGATCAATTTGTGACCTGTCACCTTACTTGTTGCCTTTTCAAAGGAGGAAGCCAGAGGTCCCCCCATCCATCTCCCTGTCTGATTTAAACCTATTATATATATTTACTTAAATGCGATTCCACATCAACCTATTATATCCTTAAATGTGATTCCACATCAACCTATTATATACTTAAATGTGATTCCAACTCAACCTATTATATACTTAAATGTGATTCCAAATCAACCTATTATATACTTAAATGTGATTCCACATCAACCTATTATATACTTAAATGTGATTCCAAATCAACCTATTATATACTTAAATGTGATTCCAAATCAACCTATTATATACTTAAATGTGATTCCACATCAACCTATTATATACTTAAATGTGATTCCAAATCAACCTGTTATATACTTAAATGTGATTCCAAATTAACCTATTATATACTTAAATGTGATTCCACATCAACCTATTATATACTTAAATGTGATTCCACATCAACCTATTATATACTTAAATGTGATTCCAAATCAACCTATTATATACTTAAATGTGATTCCATATCATTGTTTTTTTTTTTCAAAATCGCAGTGAGGAAATGATTCTTCTTCTCCAAGACATGACTGTGAATGTGGAAATGTTTTTTTTTTTTTTTTTTTTGGGGGGGGGGGGGGGATTTATGTGAATTCTGGGACAAGTAAAGTTCACTAATTTATATCACACAAATGGTTTCATATAAGGTACTATATGAAAAGAACAAAGCAACACATTTCGTAAATTCCTTAACTTTTGCAAAAATAAGCCCTACACTTATGCTTTTCCTCCCATTGAAATTGCAAAAGTATACAGTAACCTATTATCTACTTATTTGCGACTTGGCCAATAGGGTCTTTTCAAGGTCAAACAGTGTGGATATGGGCAGCCCCTTTTTTCTTCATATGTTAGCTATTAATACATTATAACCTTTTTTGTGACTTGCCAACTAGGGTCTTTCTGGGGTCATACAGTAAGGAAATGGACTCCTCATTTTCTGAACAGTGTATCTACCTATTTGTGACCCAGCCACTAGGGTCTTTTTGTGGTAAAACACTGGGGAGATGGGCAGTCACTCATCCTCTATAGACATTAAACTATTATTTACCTATCTGTGACTCAGCCACTAGGGTCTTTTCCCGGTCACACAGGGGCGAGATGGGCAGTCCCAGTTCTTGTTCTCTGTCCCCCTGTTTAAAGAATTCCTCCAGAAGCTGACTAGTCCAGCGTCGGTGAAGATTCCAGTCTTTGGCTGGATGACTTATGTCTGCACAGTGTAGGACCAAAGATAATGCTTTCTGTTTGTCTATACTAAAGAACAATTTCTACTATAATTCACATTCATGTCAAACAATGTAAATTCAAAATCCAATGCATAATTTAAATATCATTTAATTAGAAACCTCTGTGACACAAGGAATATTGTATCTAACATAATTCTAAGTGGACTATGATTTCTACAGAGTCTTATTGTACAGTAATACTAACTTCTCTGGCATGCCCAGTAGGTTCTTCATGTTCTTCAACTGTTGAAAGTGGAAAGACATGTCTGTAGCCATCACCATTTCTATGACTAAAGATCGGAATTCTCTATAAAAGAAACAATCAACATTGAAGCATTACCAAGCAGCACAGACAAAAAATTAAGATGAAAATTAATGGCTGTATAGAAATTTAAAAAAAAATTGTCAGAAAAAATGTTCATTATTAACTGAAATTGATAAATATCATTTTAAAATAGATTATATCTTATTATGTCTACACTGTCTTGTCTCTTCTGTTTTATCCTTGCCAATGGCTGGATGTTTTATTCCTACACTTCTCTACTGTGGTGAGTAGGTTTTGTGATTTTGTTTTTAGCTATACACTTCTCTACTGTGGTGAGTAGGTTTAGTGATTTTGTTTTTTATCTACATACGTGTGCCATAATTTAACGGCAAAAATCCAAGATGGCGTCGCTCAAGCGTGAAGCGTAATGTAAACAATAAACATAAAATAAGTAAAAAAAATAACTTACCGAGTTTAATATTTTGTCATTTCACCTTTGACCCTCAAAACTTTCCTCATGCGTCTTGACAGGGAATTATATAGCCCCTGTATATATTCCAAAGGGAGATTTTGCCATATGTCTACTATAGCCCTGGAAAGTTCATCGGGGGTAGTGATATTTTCCACACGATGTTGCAGTCTCTGTTTAAGTTTTAGCCACACATTCTCAATAATATTTAAATCAGGTGACTGTGCAGGCCAGCTGATACAATTAATATTGTTCCTTGCTTTGTAATTTTCGACATCTTGGGCTCGGTGGATCGGGGCATTATCGTCTTGAAATAAAAAGTTTTGGTTCGGAAATGTGTAGCTATAACGGGCCACAAGTTGTCCTCAAGGATATCTATATACTTGTGTCTATTCACAGTTTCATTTATGGTTGTAATTGTACCCACACCGTAATATGTTATACATCCCCAAATCATAACCGATATTCTTCGTTGGGATGGGGGGCAGACACAGTCTGGGGACTCCGCTTCATCCTTTTGGCGCCATATATAGAACCTATTGTTTTGACCCAAAACAACTTGACTTTCATCAGAGAAAATTACTCTGTCCCACTGACCATTAAAGTTTTCCTCGACACCATGCTAACCGCTTTTTACGATTCACCTCTTTCACACGGACTTTCTTTTTTACTGAGGCAAATTCTCTACTACACCTCTTTGTTTAAAACGAGAGATAACTCCTGTAACAGTTCCTCTGGGCATGTTCAAATCATCAGCAATCTGTTGTAACTTATATCCCTTTTCTCGCATATCTACGATGACATTTTTAATGTCATTTGACAAATGTTTACGGTTTTCAGCCATGATTAAATACACTATGTAAAAATTTCCAGAGGCAGACGACAACCAAACATCCGGTTTGAATTTAAAAACGGAAGTAAGAATAACCAGGAGCTAAAAATAGATATGTCTTTTCCCCAAGAATATAATGCATACCGAGCTTGTTTACATTACGCTTCACGCTTAAGCGACGCCATCTTGGATTTTTGCCGTTAAATTATGGCACACGTCTGTATACACTTCTCTACTGTGGTGAGTAGGTTTTGTGATTTTGTTTTTTATCTGTACACTTCTCTACTGTGGTGAGTAGGTTTTGTGATTTTGTATTTGACCTATACACTTCTCTTCTATGGTGAGTAGGTTTAGTGATTTTGTTTTTTATCTATACACTTCTCTTCTATGGTGAGTAAGTTTTGTGATTTTGTTTTTTAACCTATACACTTCTCTACTGTGGTGAGTAGGTTTTGTGATTTTGTTTTTTTTACCTATACACTTCTCTACTGTGGTGAGTAGGTTTTGTGATTTTGTTTTTTTACCTATACACTTCTCTACTGTGGTGAGAAGCTTTTGTGATTTTGTTTTTTATCTATACACTTCTCTACTGTTGTGAGTAGGTTTTGTGATTTTGTTTTTTATCTATACACTTCTCTACTGTGGTGAGTAGGTTTTGTGATTTTGTTTTTTATCTATACACTTCTCTACTGTGGTGAGTAGGTTTTGTGATTTTATTTTTATCTATACACTCCTCTACTGTGGTGAGTAGGTTTTGTATTTGACCTACCGTATATACTCGCCTATAAGTCGGTCCGCCTATAAGTCGGTTGTATTTTTGAAACATATTAGAGGGATTGACCTTCTAAAATACCAATCTTTTTATAACTCGCCTATAAGTCGGACATAGAGTTTTGGATCAAAGTTCAACTCCCAAAAATCCGACTTATAGGCGAGTATATACGGTATACATTTATCTATTTTAACAAGTAGGCTTTGTGATTGTGTTTTATGTACTGTTCAGCTCTCTTCAATACACTTTTCTAGTGGTGAGTAGGTTTTGTGATTTTAGTATTTTTTTTACCTCTCCTCTTTTCTACTATACACTTCTCTATTGTGGTGAGTAGGTTTTTGAGATTTTTGTATTTTTTTTTTACCTCTCCTCTTTTCTACTATACATTTCTCTATTGTGGTGAGTAGGTTTTGTGATTTTTGTATTTTTTTTTACCTCTCCTCTTTTCTACTATACACTTCTCTATTGTGGTGAGTAGGTTTTGAGATTTTTGTATTTTTTTTTACCTCTCCTCTTTTCTACTATTCACTTCTCTATTGTGGTGAGTAGGTTTTGTGATTTTTGTATTTTTTTTACCTCTCCTCTTTTCTACTATACGCTTCTCTATTGTGGTGAGTAGGTTTTGAGATTTTTGTATTTTTTTACCTCTCCTCTTTTCTACTATACACTTCTCTATTGTGGTGAGTAGGTTTTGAGATTTTTGTATTTTTTTCACCTCTCCTCTTTTCTACTATACACTTCTCTATTGTGGTGAGTAGGTTTTGAGATTTTTGTATTTTTTTTACCTCTCCTCTTTTCTACTATACACTTCTCTATTGTGGTGAGTAGGTTTTGAGATTTTTGTATTTTTTTCACCTCTCCTCTTTTCTACTATACACTTCTCTATTGTGGTGAGTAGGTTTTGAGATTTTAGTATTTTTTTTACCTCTCCTCTTTTCTACTATACATTTCTCTATTGTGGTGAGTAGGTTTTGAGATTTTTGTATTTTTTTTACCTCTCCTCTTTTCTACTATACACTTCTCTATTGTGGTGAGTAGGTTTTGAGATTTTTGTATTTTTTTCACCTCTCCTCTTTTCTACTATACACCTCTCTATTGTGGTGAGTAGGTTTTGAGATTCTTGTATTTTTTTCACCTCTCCTCTTTTCTACTATACACTTCTCTATTGTGGTGAGTAGGTTTTGTGATTTTTGTATTTTTTTCACCTCTCCTCTTTTCTACTATACACTTCTCTATTGTGGTGAGTAGGTTTTGTGATTTTTGTATTTTTTTCACCTCTCCTCTTTTCTACTATACACTTCTCTATTGTGGTGAGTAGGTTTTGTGATTTTTGTATTTTTTTCACCTCTCCTCTTTTCTACTATACACTTCTCTATTGTGGTGAGTAGGTTTTGAGATTTTGTATTTTTTTACCTCTCCTCTTTTCTACTATACACTTCTCTATTGTGGTGAGTAGGTTTTTGAGATTTTTGTATTTTTTTACCTCTCCTCTTTTCTACTATACACTTCTCTATTGTGGTGAGTAGGTTTTGTGATTTTTGTATTTTTTTTTTACCTCTCCTCTTTTCTACTATACACTTCTCTATTGTGGTGAGTAGGTTTTGAGATTTTTGTATTTTTTTCACCTCTCCTCTTTTCTACTATACACTTCTCTATTGTGGTGAGTAGGTTTTGAGATTTTTGTATTTTTTTTACCTCTCCTCTTTTCTACTATACACTTCTCTATTGTGGTGAGTAGGTTTTGAGATTTTTGTATTTTTTTCACCTCTCCTCTTTTCTACTATACACTTCTCTATTGTGGTGAGTAGGTTTTGAGATTTTAGTATTTTTTTCACCTCTCCTCTTTTCTACTATACACTTCTCTATTGTGGTGAGTAGGTTTTGAGATTTTAGTATTTTTTTTACCTCTCCTCTTTTCTACTATACACTTCTCTATTGTGGTGAGTAGGTTTTGAGATTTTTGTATTTTTTTTCACCTCTCCTCTTTTCTACTATACACTTCTCTATTGTGGTGAGTAGGTTTTGAGATTTTTGTATTTTTTTCACCTCTCCTCTTTTCTACTATACACTTCTCTATTGTGGTGAGTAGGTTTTGAGATTTTTGTATTTTTTTACCTCTCCTCTTTTCTACTATACACTTCTCTATTGTGGTGAGTAGGTTTTGAGATTTTTGTATTTTTTTCACCTCTCCTCTTTTCTACTATACACTTCTCTATTGTGGTGAGTAGGTTTTGTGATTTTTGTATTTTTTTTACCTCTCCTCTTTTCTACTATACACTTCTCTATTGTGGTGAGTAGGTTTTGAGATTTTTGTATTTTTTTTACCTCTCCTCTTTTCTACTATACACTTCTCTATTGTGGTGAGTAGGTTTTGTGATTTTTGTATTTTTTTCACCTCTCCTCTTTTCTACTATACACTTCTCTATTGTGGTGAGTAGGTTTTGTGATTTTTGTATTTTTTTCACCTCTCCTCTTTTCTACTATACACTTCTCTATTGTGGTGAGTAGGTTTTGTGATTTTTGTATTTTTTTTTTACCTCTCCTCTTTTCTACTATACACTTCTCTATTGTGGTGAGTAGGTTTTGAGATTTTTGTATTTTTTTACCTCTCCTCTTTTCTACTATACACTTCTCTATTGTGGTGAGTAGGTTTTCTACTGCTTTGACCTGTATAGATCTAGACTAGGAGGTCAAATTCTGTGCCTTTATCTATTCTCTTCTCTGATGAGGTGGTTAGTTTTGTATTATTTAGATCTATCTGTGTATATACATATTTTTATAACTATTCTCCTCTCTACTGTGGTGGTTAGTTTTGTATTATTTAGATCTATCTGTGTATATACATATTTTTATACCTATTCTCCTCTCTACTGTGGTGGTTGGTTTTGTATTATTTAGATCTATCTGTGTATATACATATTTTTATAACTATTCTCCTCTCTACTGTGGTGGTTAGTTTTGTATTATTTAGATCTATCTGTGTATATACATATTTTTATACCTATTCTCCTCTCTACTGTGGTGGTTGGTTTTGTATTATTTAGATCTATCTGTGTATATACATATTTTTATAACTATTCTCCTCTCTACTGTGGTGGTTAGTTTTGTATTATTTAGATCTATCTGTGTTTATATATATATTTATTTTACCTATACTCTTCTCTGCTGAGGTGGTTAGTTTTGTATATTTTAGATCTATCTGTGTATATATATATATATATATTTTTTTTTACCTATACTCTTCTCTGCTGAGGTGGTTAAGAATATTGGCTTCCTCTGATCTCATGATTCGGAATGAGGCACATATATGGTGATTCTCCAGAACAGCTTTATCATTATACAGGATAGCAAATTCGGACCTACAAGAAATAGCAATGTATAATGTAATATAATAAATAAACAGAAACATCCTACTGGGACCCCCTACCCCCTCCGTGCTAAAGAAAAGGCGCATACTTACTTTAAAATAGCTTAAAATAAAGAAATCCATTTAAAAATTACACTCCAAATTTAAACTAGTTGAAAGATTGTTAGCTCTGGTCCTGAGAAAGCTTTGTGTTGAGTTTGAAAGTGTTACCTTCCACAGACTTAAATTGTCACATCTCAAAGAACTTCTCAGCTATGTGACCTTGACCTTATGCAAATAAGACTCCAGACTTCTTGGTTCCTACACCAATCTTCATGTCATGTATGATTTCCTAATGCAGTTATGCTCCTCCTATACAAAGTCTTGCCTTTTAGAATTTTACATTTCCGAGATCTTTAGAATTTTGATAATTAAACCTCTCGACCTTGACCTTGTCTAAATTAACTTTCTCAGGTTTACAACATATTCTATAATCCTAAATAATCCTCAGACCAATTACAATTCCATTACAAAATTAGGGTATGGACAAGGATTTACTCTTCATGCTCATTGACCTTGTCCAGCTGACCATGTTCCAGGGTTTTAATATACCTTCTGCAAGATCACAAGAAACCCTTGTGCCAAGTACAATCTCCTATGTTTCTTCACTTCATAACAAAGGAAAGAATTTTAATACTTCAAAAACCTGTGACCCAGATGTTGTGTTAATTACAGAACAGGGTCAAGACATGCCCACAAGTTACTAGCAGCCTCTTTCTTAAATATCAGCTTCTAGTATTTCTCCAATGTTCTTGTCCAAATGACCTTGGTTACAAGACAAGCCACGCCTCTGGTGAAAAGCTACCTTTGTATCAAGTATGATCCTCTAAAGCTTCTCAATTATGTCCAGACAAAAATGTCACTGTTGTGTGGATTACAAGGGGGCTAACCAAAATTGCCAACAATATTAAGCCTACAGGACATGACTTCTCCTTACACAAATTCCCCACACCTCCAGGAAAATATACCATAACCATCATAACAAACATAAAAGTAGTCCCTGAACATTTACAATGGGGGCCAATATGGCTCTGTGAAACCCAGGAACTCTCTATACATTCATACATTCTATTCAGAAATATATCAAAATATGTAATACGCAAAATTATTGAACACTTTAATCTCCAGACAATAAAATGTCAATGACAGACTAACATGGTGATTCACGTTATAACCCCTATCCCAAACTTCTTTTGCAGGAGTATATTAAATAGTGTAGGATTCAACAGTGATACACTAATGTGTCTAAGACTTACATGTAGCAATGACCAGTATTAAGCCTTAGACGAGTGCCATTACACTACAGTGTTAATATCATATGACGTACCCAGTCTGGATGTGGAAATTATTAGTGGTTCCTGTGTGTTCATAATCATGGATCAGAGCAGCAATAATTGTAGCAAACACTTCCAGGTCGGTTAACCAATGCTGGAAATAGATAGAGCTCGGAGGTCAAATCCAACAAATAACAAAACTCTCAATAATTACAAGGAAATTTACTAAAATATGACAAAAATTTTATCCCTTGATGCAATGAAGTAGAGGATGGAAATTAATCCAAACATGACAAAAATTTTATCCCTTGATGCAATGAAGTAGAAGGTGGGAAATTAATCCAAACATGACAAAAATTTTATCCCTTGATGCAATGAAGTAGAAGGTGGGAAATTAATCCAAACATGACAAAAATTTTATCCCTTGATGCAATGAAGTAGAGGGTGGGAAATTAATCCAAACATGACAAAAATTTTATCCCTTGATGCAATGAAGTAGAAGGTGGGAAATTAATCCAAACATGACAAAAATTTTATCCCTTGATGCAATGAAGTAGAGGGTGGGAAATTAATCCAAACATGACAAAAATTTTATCCATTGATGCAGTGAAGTTAGAGAAACTGTACTGCACATAACTTCACCTTGAAGTTTTAAAAATATCTTTATCATAGGCTATAATGCCAGTCATAATCTTTTGTTACAAACATAAAGACACCAGTTACCCTTACATAAGGAGAAACACCTGTAGGGGACACAGTCATAATTTACAAGGATACCATTACAAGGAGAAAACATCTACACAAGTTATGTACAATGTAGTATTTACGGGATGTTGAGTAGATGTACTTACTGTCAGTTTGCTCTGTGACAGGATGTAGAGTAGATACTTACTGTGACAGGATGTAGTGTAGATACTTACTGTGACAGGATGTAGTGTAGATACTTACTGTGACAGGATGTAGTGTAAATACTTACTGTCAGTTTGCTCTGTGACAGGATGTAGAGTAGATACTGACTGTGACAGGATATAGTGTAGATACTGACTGTGACAGGATGTAGTGTAGATACTTACTGTGACAGGATGTAGTGTAGATACTTACTGTCAGTTTGCTCTGTGACAGGATGTAGTGTAGATACTTACTGTGACAGGATGTAGTGTAGATACTTACTGTGACAGGATGTAGTGTAGATACTTACTGTCAGTTTGCTCTGTGACAGGATGTAGTGTAGATACTTACTGTGACAGGATGTAGTGTAGATACTTACTGTGACAGGATGTAGTGTAGATACTTACTGTCAGTTTGCTCTGTGACAGGATGTAGAGTAGATACTTACTGTGACAGGATGTAGTGTGGATACTTACTGTGACAGGATGTAGTGTAGATACTTACTGTGACAGGATGTAGTGTAGATACTTAATGTCAGTTTGCTCTGTGACAGGATGTAGTGTAGATACTTACTGTGACAGGATGTAGTGTAGATACTTACTGCCAGTTTGCTCTGTGACAAGATGAAATGTACTGTCTGGGTCACATCCGCTCCGTGGACCAGGTTATGATACGGATTCTTATATTTGCTATATCCAGCTTCTAATTGCAGGAGGAAAGAGTCCAACATTGAATTATTTATCTTATATTTAGTAACCAAGTCATATTTTTGTAACAGTTCATAACCCACATATTTCAAAGAATGCCCTTCTGCTGCAGTATTTAGTGCAAACACATCGAATGACCAATCATCCATGCCCTGAAAAATAAAGACAAAATTATATTCATTCAGACATTTCCTAGGCTTCAGTTAGCCCTTGTTTAGTAATGTGACGTATTCTCACCTTTAAAAGTGATAAAACTGCGGGGGGAATATGTAATGTGCCTGAACTGGAGAGTCGTCTGTAAATTCTACAACAGAAAATCAGGTCATTTTATCAATGTATTTGTTCTCTGTAAAAAAACAAGTTTTATTATTTAATTAATGTGTTTATTTTCAATCAATTCATATATACAGTTTTATTTTTTCTGACTCTTAACTACTTATACAGTTTTCTTTAAAAATGTCTATTTCAATATTGATGTTGAAACCAACTTAGGAGCTAAGGATTTTTGCTATATTGATAATTCTACTGACATTTCATAACAGTTACATGTACCATCTTTCTACTTACCTGTCCACCATAATGCCTGCCCGGATGGCATGAGCCACACTTCGGAATTTGGGCTTTTCTTGTCCTCTTCGTCGGACATTGTTCATTGACCTTGTGAAGGTCAAGGCCAACCAATCTCTGACCTCTGTTGGGACTGCATCAGGTTCAACCTCACTGAGTTCGTCATCCTCATCTGTAAGTCGTCTACAAAATAATAAGTCACAGGTTTTTAAGCCTCCTACAAACAAAATAACAAGTGGAAACACTGGCAGACTTCTAAAAATTTAGAAGCTACTAATCTGTAAAACAAAATTTAAAAACAATAGAATTACAAGTACCTCTTAAAAAAATCACAAAGTTTGAGTCTGACCCCTTCAGTCTATTAATTTATGAAATATGATTCAAATTAAGTTAATCTACTAAAAATTTTATGTATCTCTCTCTCTCAAAAAAATAAAAATCATATCCAACTTATTAAGTCAAAATTAATTAATGAGAGTTAAATAAATCCAATTTAAGTAACAATAATGAATTTTGAAGCTTATTAGTTGTGAGTGCATAGCCCTATCAGTATAAGTCTGAAGTCTCGTAGAAAATCACGTAACTATATGTATACACATTGGTAGCATTTTAATGATAAATAATCATCTATAATGTTACTTAATGATGGGAATCGAACAGTAAGGATTTCATAAGTGATGATTGGTTTTCTGTATCAAACTTATTACGAACAAGAAGTCTGTGAGCCAATGCTCACTAATAATACCCCCGCTCTGATGTAAATACACAAGTTCATTTATAGACAGACACAGGGATAAACAGGAAGTTGACATTAGATTCGTACAAAAATTAATTCCGCCATTTGACATGCCTAAACAAAGAGTGTGCTAAACTCTCAAGCATCTGCGATAAGTAGATGCTGAGAAAACTGCAACCAAAATTTGTTATGTATGGTACGGACAGACGCACAGATAAACAGGAAGTTGACATCAGATTCATACAAAAATAAATCCCACCATATGGCATGCCTAAAAAAAAAGTGTGCTAAAATTTCAAGCATCTGCAATGAGTAATTCCTGAGAAAACTGCGACCAAAATTTGTTATGTTTGGTACGGACAGACGCATGGATTAACAGGAAGTTGACATCGGATTCGCACAAAAATGAATCCCACCATATGGCATGCCTAAATAAAGAGTGTGCTAAAATATCAAGCATCTGTGATGAGTAATTGCGGAGAAAACTGTGACCAAATTTTGATATGTATGGTACGGACAGATGCACGGATAAACAGGAAGTTGACATCGGATTTGCACAAAAATGAATCCCACCATATGGCATGCCTAAACAATGAGTGCTCTAAAATTTCAATCATCTGTGATGAGTAGTTGCTGAGAAAACTATGAAGAAAATTTGTTACGGACAGACACACGGACACACAGACAGACACACAAGGGTAAAACAGTAAACCCCCCTCTTCTCCGGAGCGGGGGTATAATTATAATTGGAAAACAAAAAAATTACATAATAAACAACTGCATGAAAGAGAAAAATAACATTTCCTGTGCAGAAGCTTTTTTCTCTTCTTGTTTCTACATAAAATGTCCTTGTATACACTTTTATTCTTGAAGAGTTTAAAAAAGTAACAAAGAGCAACCTACAAAAATACTAAATACATGTATAATGACTTTTATATGCATGTGGAGCACCTGGTGTTGGTTTAAAAAAACATAATGCATCAATATTTACATTTTTTAAATTAATATCTTTGTCTAAGATAAAACTACAAATAGTAAAAATACTTCATTTCTACATAAAGCTACTGGTTCATCGAATGGCATGGTCTAAAAAAAAAATCCAGTGCGGGGCGGGACAGAGAGAGACAGAAGTAGTCAGGGCTTGTAGCACATGAATTTACAGAATCAAGAGCATGTAAATATAAGGAATAACTATCAGATTTTTTGATTTCATGACTATGATCAAGCAATTGGCTTGTGTGATAATTTTATGCATAAATGCCTTCTGCAAATTATCATGCAAGCCAATTGCTTGATCACATCATGAACTAAAAAATTAGACAGTTATTCCTTAACTACTGCATACCTTTGAAGGATACTTGATAAACTGTGGCTGGAATCTTGCATTCCAAAAATATGGCTTTGTTGATAAAGATTAAACAATTGATTAATTGATAAAATTATTATTTATAACAAAGTGCTTGGAATATACCAAGAATTGACTGAATTTCGATTATTATCAATGATTTAAGGACAACACTAATGTTAATTTAATACACAACTGAAAAGAAAGCTCATATGAAATATTTTGATTGGAAATAATTTTGGGGTAGTATACATGTACTGTTCAGGGGACACTCAATTTACAATGTGTCATTTCCTAGAAAAACCTTCATACTATGAAAAGTTAGAATGGGGATAGGTTCAAACCATAAGCTTCAACACTTTTTTAGGACAGGTTTTAATACAAACAGGTTTAATCATTAGCATAAAATTATTTAAATGGGTTACTTGTTCTCAATGCCTTGAAATATGTAGCAATTTCTTCTCTTCAACCCAACTATACATATATCTATGAAGAGATATATCCACTCAAGATCGTCATTATTCTTTTGATGTAAGTCAAATATAATTCTCATGTTTATCCTGGACACTTCTCTTATTTTCAGTTAATGTCATTGACTTTGTACAAGATTGGAAAATTCATAGTAGACGGAAGTGGAATTCATTGCATATGTTTACATAAATATTGAGAGCCATTTATACAACCATAATTGAGTAATACAATTATTAGATATCTTGATTCTTGAACTATCCTCACTAACTCAATATCATTTATAAAATCTTTCTGCATTTTTTTTTCAATATTGGGAATTAAATAATTTCTTAAAAATGACTTCAGAGTATAAGTGACAGTACGCTGTAATTCAGAAAGCAATCTGTGAGATTGTGTCTGGAACAAAATTATGAATTTTAAGTACATTATGATACCCTTAGTAATACAGGGAACTTCTAAATCTGTATCTAATCACACAATGACCTATCTCGTTGCGGTTCTGACTCAAATGGAAGTAGGTGCACATTCTCATTATAGGTGCAAAAAGATGTTTAAATGTTACGCTCAGTTAAAAATTTGTTACAGCTTAGGATAAGAAGGATTTTAAAAGGTGTGTGTGTGTGACTTGGGGGGGGGGGGGGCTAATATTTTTGCCAACTTGATGTAATGTTCTTAATTTCTTAAGAGTGTTTAATTTCTCTATAGTTTAGGTGTTGTCGTGCTAATTACCATCACACATTTGTCGGAAAGATATATAAAAAATATGACTTATTTAAACCTTTCCTTTTCATTGTTGAGTGCTCGGAAAATGTAGAAGAAATAACTTTTACGAGAATTTGCAAAGGTTATGTGTAAAGTTGAATGCGATGATGAAACTGTTACATTGTACACAAATATGGAACATGTGCCCTTTATAATTTTGGTCTGCCAGACAGAAAATAGGGCTTTCCTAGACTATAATTATAACTGTCAGCTTTCTTCTACCAACTCAGGCAAAAAATATATAAAAAAAGGAATCTCTCAATCAGTATTTGTTATAATACCCTCTCTACCATTAAATTCCCCTATAATGATTTTGATTTTTTCCCCCCTTGACCTTAAAACTCACTTTCACTAATGTTACTAAAAAGGTCGAAAAAATAAAAATTATTTACCATGAGCATGCATGATTTTCATGAATTAACTGACAATCTATCCTAACAAGTAAAAAATATTTTTGTTATCTAGCTGTACAGTTATAATTATTCTAATCTTACACCTCATATACCATCAATACCCATTATACCTTGCATGTCATTTTGAAGTAAAAAAGAGAACAAATACTGTACACAGTATGCAGTGCACTTACACTTTTTCCATCTGATCTGCTGGCAAATTTTGGTCAATTACAGGAAAAAACCTTTGTGTTATTATCATACGGCGAGCTGCATTTTGAAACACTGTGTCACTTTCTCTACCTGAGTTAGATTCAGCCATTGGTTAATTCAGATACAGTTAATCAGAGGTAAGTTTAAAGCCTAAGCTAATCCCTTCATCTACCCCTTCTGCCATGACAGGAAGTGACATCATCAAACATTTATGACATCATCACAAGTGATGTTTTCCCGAACTGCTGTCAGTTCAACATTTTTGAATTTTGTGTAATGTTCACCAAACTATGATATACAAAGGTTTGTGACTTTGCTGAAATATTCATGCATTTCTGGGGGTGAATTCAAATACAGCAAGTATTTTGACGAATACTATATATAAATTGATTAATGATTAAATTTATTAATAATTAATAACCCTCAGGTATCTACTCTATAGCATTCATGATACTTACACTGATCACATTTTTTGAGGGGTGGATGGGGTGGGAAGTATTCCTTTTTTTCAATTTTTAAAAGACTTAATATGTACAGTTATAAGGTTTGACAAGAAATGTGAATTTTACCTTGAAATTTTGTTACATTTATATACTAAGCCAAAACATAAACTGCATTTCTTAAAAAAAAAAAAGTGATCTACATTATACATGTATATGTTTGTAAATTCTGTATTCTGCTGGAGATCATCAATCATTCTGTGCTGCCAATATTCTTTGTTGTCCTCAAGACAGCAATAAGTGCAGCTATAGAGTACATCTATCTAATCAACTAATAATTAATAAGTGATACTCATTAAAAGAAAATGAATCCATGCACTAATTCTGCAGTATCTCTGAATGATCATTTGCATTTACATGTAATTAATATATGAATGACTGTTAAAATGGTGCAAAAAAGTTACTTCTGGAATGACTTTTATGGAGAAATGATCTTGTCCTGATATGGTCACTCCCATCAACGAATACAATTAAACATATTTCTGGGATTAAATACAAAAATCAAAACAAAGAATTTCACACAAATGTCTAAATCACTCTTATGTGGGAATTAACTCGGGTGTGTAACTCTATGTTAGTAGACTCAGATGACGTTAATGAAAACAGGCCCAACTTATACTTACTCCTGGACAGATTTAGGGACAGGTGTCGGTGTTTCAGTGGAACTGAAAAAGAGTGACAATTTAAACAAGAAAATCAGTGAAACTTTTCTGGATGATTTCCAACTGTTGCTAACGTTGAGAAGCAGAAATTCTAGACTGGAGTAACCTTGACATTAAGGTTGTGATAAATATAGAATCCCTTCTATATTACAGAAGGGGACTGTCCACAATTCTATATAATGACGAAGGATCCATTAAAGTAATTTATTATTTATTATAAGAAAAAATCTAGGGAAAAGACAAGATTTAAAGTCACATAACAAAGATAGCATTGACCTTAAGAAATGAGCCTGAGTGAAGTTTTAATCTATGAAGCAAAAATTCCAGCTTCATTATCCAACTTCACCTTAACTGACGGTCAGTACATAACCTCTGTATCAATGTCCAGTTTATCAGTAGCTGCTCCTGGCAGAATTTCAGATAAAAATCAAATGACATAACCATTTGAAACATTGACCTTTGTAAATATGACCTTCAGAGAGAACAACCCTGAAAATTTTGTGCTAAGTATAACTGCATATTAAAATTGAGAGGATCTGATCCCAGAAAAAAACATTGACGGATTTAGTTACAAACCAAGTAGCTTATAATCTCCCATTACTTTTTTCTATATTTAATCTGCACCAGTTATTCATGATGAACAATAGATCTTTCTTCAATATATAATGAGTATGATTGAAAAAAGAGAGCTCTGCATACACCAACAATGGGGTTCTCATAAGTTGCTGGAAAAAGTTGTATTTCTCTGTTAAACATGTTAAAGTTTTAATATTTTTCTTTTTAAGTGCTTCAAAAGCATTTAATGAAACATTATGAAATACTTATTTAACCTCTAGGCCTAACATTCTGAGGCCACATAAAGGATTCCACGTTTGAATGAGTAAAAAGTATATTAATGACAAATAAATGTGTCCAATTTTCAGACTTTTTCCCCCTCTTCATTCATAACATATAGATCTATTTAAAAAAAAAAATTGATGTAGTTTTCATTGCCTCCTGATTTTGCCTGTGTCAATCATATCATCTCATATTTAAAAAAAAATAATTATATTCACATCACAAACAGTCAATGTCACATGCACAAATGTCGATCATCATGAGCATGCGTGTTACTTTGGTGCAAGATTTAGGATGCATTTCTTAAAAAATTTCTTTTAAAAAAATCGTATTTATAACATATTCACAAGAAATCTGGGCTCTCACCACTTGTGAAAAGAACCAAAATTAATCAATTACATGCTGTTGACTATAATTTTCACCTTGTTCATTAAAATATGCTACAGTCATATTTCATAAGTGCCAAACTGAAATTAAAATAGGAATTAAGGAATTGCTCATGCATTGTAAATAATTTAATATGGTCGGCCTGCAGTCAGGAAGTCCATATAAGGAGCTGTAGTAAAGACATTTCAAAACTGAGTCTTTAGTACATATTTAGATTTATATTCAGTGTCATTTTCTTTATGAAATCCATTGGAAATCCTCAACATTCAATACCCTATAACACAGTCACATAAAACCTTGTCACTGCACGGTAGAATTTATGATTATTCAATACTCAAGGAATGCCAAAATGTATATTGTTTTGGCTCAATTTAATTAAAAACAATTACCCTATTAAGTTCAAAATATAAACAATTGTACATTTAAAATTAATTTGTTATTTTTTTCTCTTGCAATATTCATTTGCGATATTTAATTTTCCACGTCAAAACGACTCTTACATCTATATTAAGCACACCAGTTCTGAAAAGCGCTAAAGAACCACGCACACTAACTCTCGATTCCCACTTACATTTTACACCCATTTAATTCAATATAAATGGCAGTTTGGCCATTTAAACTCGAGTGGGGGGGGGGGGGGGGAGATGTTTTAAAAATATTATCCATTTTCCGTTGATTTTTATAGTGAAGACACATTTTTTACCAAAATTAAAGAGTTATCTCTGTTAGTTTTCCCAAATAAGTTATGTTTATGAAAATTCACATAAATATCTATATAAATATGAAAAATCATTCAATTGACAAATATGTCAACTTTTGAAATTTGACTTGGAGACAGAACAATACTATCGTTTGCAGTTCTTCATAATCAAGATTAATGAAATTAACAATTATGAAGACAGAAAATTAGAGAATGTAAATATAAGCAAATGCATGGTATTCAATTTCTCGGCATGGCCAGGTGCTGTTATAGGACAGACTACATTCAAAAATAAGAATTCAATGCTTAAATAACATTCAAATATTATGAATGATTGCACTGAAGAAATTGAATTATAATATGTATGTTAACATTATCAATTTAGAGAGCATCAGATACAACTGAATTACGAACCAGAAATATGTCTCCTTGACACGATTACCATTCAAATCCTCATTTAAAAGGACTGTGATGCTAAGGACACAGGAATGTCACAATCGTCAAGCTCGAGTGTTTGATAATAATGTTCCTAACTCGATGAATATGTGAAAAAAGTTTATACATGGATCCGTTCTTTCAAAAATTTACCTAGTATCAATAAACAGAAAATATGGGGAAAGAAAAGACCATTCAGCCACATTTAAAATGCTCTCGCTCTAGATCAGTTCCTGTGGAGGATGTAATAAAAGCTCTAAATCAGTTCTTTAATGCTGAAACCACTACTTATCAGGGATGTCTTAAAGGTGTATGAAATAAAATTTTGCTGTGGCATTCATCCTTAATCCAGAATGCAGTGGACAGTCAGACAAAAGATAAATAAAAAAGATGTGTTTGTGAAACACTGATGCCCCCTTAAGGCAGCTCAATGCAAAGGCTTAAGTTTATCAAATGCAAATCAAACTTCAAAGCCAAGAGATAAAAAATGTTGGTACCCAAAAAAGGGTCTTGTCACAAGGAATACACCTGAGAAATATGAAAGCTCTAGTATCAACTGTTGGTCTTGTCACAAGGAATACACCTGTGAAATGTGAAAGCCCTAGCCATTCCAAAGTTACGGCCAAGGTTAAAGTTTTTCAAAAGTAGAACAAATTCAGAGGTCAAGGTCAAAAGGTCAAAACTGTTGGTACTCAAGGGAAAGTCTTGTCACAAGGAATACACATGTGAAGTATGTAAGCCCTAGCACCAATTGCTCAAAAGTTGTGGCCAATGTTAAAGTTTGTTAAAATTTTGCATAAGTGGGTCAAACTCAAAGGTCAAGGTGTCAAATATGTTGGTACCCAAAGAAAGGACTTTTCACAAGAAATACACATGTAAAATATGAAGAAAACCATGTCTCCAACCAGTCAAAAGTGATGGACAAGGCTAAACAGATAAACAGACAGACAGATGGATGGACAGAGCAAAAACTATATGCCCCTGAATCTTTGATTATGGGAGCATAAAAATGTGAGATGGACGGAAAATCAGACATGACATACACGGAATGCCTGGCCATAAAAATTCATCAAACCTTTGTATGCATTCTTTACGTCTCTGATATCCTTGCTTTAAAACCCCAGAAATAAGGTATGAAGCCTTATACATGATAAAGCGAGCGTGTACATTGTATCTTTTTCTGTTCAAATAGAAAATATTTCATTGCTCACTCTCTGAGTTAAACTGAACCTGAATGAATGAGGAAATGATAACACTACCCTTATAGCAAATCGTACATCAATAGCATACAGAAAAATAGCTGTGTAAGTTTGACAATGCAAAAAATCTCAAAGCAATTACAATTCATCACTTTGACAAGTTTGTATTAAATTCTTAAACAATATTGGTGTTTTTGCTTTACTTTATATCTACAGTACACTGTAAAGTTAATGATTTTGCTTTATTTAGCTTCATTAATGTCAAATAATGGCAGAAATTGGTAACATTTTCTCCACTTCCAAGTTTTTTCTCCTACCTGCAGAACCACTTCCTGACAGTGAGTTATTTATGTCCATCAGTAACACAGTTCCATTAATGTATATCATCTTATCCATGCATATGTATCATAAAACATACCAGTGTTTAATAGACTACTCTATGTACCATGTCATAAATATTAGGAGTATTTCAATATCACTGATGATGTATGCCCAAAAACTAACAAAACGTGTCATTATATATATGTACATCAAAACAGGAAAAACAAAACATTAGAAAACTGTTTGTAATTGAGTCAGTCTACGAAAAAATAAAAACCAAACAAAACTCTAAAAGTTCACCCACGCGAACAGTGCATAAAACAATTCGTTCAAAACGTGCATTCACCACTTACTTTTTGAGGGTGTCCTTATTAGTTCTGCAATCATCAAATATTCAGATCAGAAAAATATTAGGCCAAAACAAAAACATTATCTGTTTGAAATATTTTTCTTTCACATCATTTTTTACAAACCATTTACGCCTGACTCATTTTCTCACATTTCTGATATAAGAAAAAGAATCCAATTCTATACTCGTTAAAATGTGCACTACTAGCAAGAACAAAATGTGGTTAATTGTATAAAAACATCATAATCTATAGAGGCTGCTACTAATTTCATTTAAAAATAATCTCTGAATCTATCCTAAACAAACCATAAGAATTTGTAGGGCATAAAAATACATCTTTTTAAAAATATAATACTTTTTCCAGCACTGCAAGATGATTTTATAAAACTTGTGTACCTATACAAATTCCTGCCCTTACAGTCAGGCCCTAGGTCCTGAAGACACTCTTCTGCTGGAGTAACATTAAGGTTATTACATGAAGACTCACCTAGTTTCGTCGATGTAGACCGACTCCAGCACCGAGGCAGCATATTCCAGATTCTTGTACAGATCTTCTTTAGAGACCTCTCCATTCTGTACTCTTCTCAATATATTCCTTAAGCTATAAAAATAAATAAAAGAAATATCTCATGTTTCCAGCATTCCAAGCCAAGCTTTTATTGGCTAATGTTTTCACAAACTTGTGGCGATATTAGACAAAATTTGTTCGTTCCAAGATATGAATATTTAACAAAGACAACTAATCAATAAGAGAATACTACATAACATTTCTGGAGCTTAAACCTGTAATACGCTTTTGTTTGTAAGTTGTTTATCAGGCTCAAAACAAATTAAGTTTCTGACCTGACCCTTTTATCTCTGAACCAAACCTGTGGTCTGTTTTACTGTACTACATTGTTACCGTTTCCCTCAGTATTGTATCACATCAGTCTCTGCTTTCCCCATTTTTTTTCTTTTCACTACATGTAGTACTTCGACTGCCACATTTAGCAGACAAAAGTGTTAATAGGAGGAAATTTTTCAGTACTTTATTTACCATATTAAGCAGATGATTGTTGATGGGAGGAAGTTAGTCAGCACATTCAGTACTTTGATTACTAACCATATGGAGCAGACATTAGAGTCCTTGGAGTAAGTTTGACAGTACTTTTGGTACTTTGATTTCTTACAGTAGACAGGGGTGTTGATAATTTGTCAGTACATTCAGTACTTTGATTAATTACTGTAGAGAGCAGTCATGAAAGGCCTGCAGTGTCAGAAGGAGGAAATATGTCAATACATTCAATATTTGATTACTTACCATACTGAGCAGACAGGAGGCCAATGTCAATGGAAAGAAGTTTGACAGAGCTTTGATTACTTATGGTATTGAACAGACATAAGAGGCCTCCTGGGTGTTGGTGGGGGGAAGTTTGTCAGTACAATCAGTACTTTGATTACTTACTGTATTGAGCAGACTGAGGTGTTGGAAGGAGGAAGTTTGTCTATCAGAATTTTTAATACTTTGATTACTTACCGTATTGAGCAGACATGAGAAGCCTCCGGGGTGTCAATGGGAGGAAGTTTGTCTGTGCCGAGATCAACACTTGCGTAGGAATCACTTTCTGCGATACTTGATGTCCGACTACTGCTACTGGAAGGTAATTTTGATTTGGAGTTTGTTCTCTTCAGCACTGTCAAGGAACCAGCCCCTGAAACAGAAGAAAACTTCTACAGAAAACAGAAGAAAACAGTGCCGTTAAATCATGGGAAATCAAACCAGGAGTCTCTGACACAGTGTAGCTCTATTGGCTTGAACTCCAATGAAATGTATTCTTTGGCTTTTTTCATTTCCTATTTGAAAAGTAATGATCACACTTCACTATTATTTATATTTATATATCTTGATATAGTCCGCACATACAATGCTTCATTCAAATCAAGCAAACATTAGGGAGTAACATTCAAAAAGAACAAAAAGAAATAATTTTATTTTAAGTAACAGAGGAAATAAAAGTCTTGTTGTATATCTATGTTATCTACACCTGACTATTCAATTTCATTTAAATCAGAAAAAACCAAACAGATGAACATGGAGAACTGCTTTGCCACCTGACAACTAGATTATGGACATTACTTACCAATATTTAAATTTCCTCTGGTCGATGACCAGGCTCCAAGACCATAAACTGAGAACAGACTTAAGTCAAAATTTCAAATCCAAGTAACTTTGGAAATAATTTTGATAACAGAACAAAATTTTTATCATATGTTTATACTGGAATATTATACTTACCTGCAAAATTTTAAGTATGTAATATGTTAAATAAAACTCAAGATATTCAGAATCAAAATTTTGACTTAAGTCTGTTCTCAGTTTATGGTCTCAACGCCAGGTCCTAGTATCATGAAACACATCTTAAGTCAAAATCTCTGTAATGGTGTAAACCTGTCAAACTGAAATGCTATTTTCCAAAAATTTAGAGTTTCAGCTCACAGTTTATAAGCATTGAAATGTTGATTTAAGTCAATGTTTCATGATTCAAGTGTGATTACTGCTAAGAATTTGATTTTAATAATTAAATGAATCCTACTGTCTGGACTTGGTCCTGATAAAACCTTAAACTATAAAATTATTCCAATATAACTGTGTTAACAATTTGTGATAGACACTTTTCACCTTAAAATTAAACAATAGTGTTAGAGCACAGTTTATTTAAGGAATGAATTTAATAGCTACCCAAGTTATACTATAAAACCTGGGTTGGGGCAGTTTACGCTTTATTAACCACGAAGTCGTTTATAAAAACACAGGTTATACAAGTATAACTTGGGTAGCTATTAAATTCATTCCTTATAATTTAATTTTTCATCATTAAGTATAGAAAATAAGACAAATTCTCTTTTAAAAATGCCTTCAAATTGTACATATCTTAAATGTAACATCAAGCAGATTAATACCTTTTGATGTACCGGTAAGTCAATGTTTCGTAGGCAACACAGGTTATATGATATAAACTAATTTTTTTTTTTCCCAATCAAATGACGCGATACAACCAAAATTAAATTATGGTTTAATGAACAAAGTAATAATTTCAATAATATGAAATAATTCTTTATTGCTTTGCAGAAATGTTTTTTTTTTGTGCTTTGTAGAAGATTGGCTCATTCCAGCAAAATAATTAAAGGCCCAGCCTCTATCACCAAAAGAATGATACAAACTTAAGGCTATCTGTAATTAAGCCCGTACCTACAGTCTCCGTTGCTTTAGCTTCATTTATTTATTTTTTTTTTTTACACTCAATGACGTCAACATGTCATCTCAATCTCTAGTACAGTCAAAAGCAATAAACCCAGAACAAATCCACAATTATCCAGCCCCTCTCTGATTTCTACAGTACAAAATAATCAGCAATCCACATTCCGATTTCTACAGTACAATATAATCAGTGATCCTAACTAGATGACATTTAGTCTTGTTATTGGTTTAGATAACTGCTGAGAAACTCTATTCAGCCTTCTTTGTGTGATTTGATTCTGTCCATTACAGGGAGATAAGACTGGGGGGTTTTAATGTAGCCTCACTGCTACCAGGCTCAGGAGAAGTTAGCTGCTCAGTGACCTGTACTTCACTTCCTTCCCTAAATTATACCCTTATCTTTATACAAAACATTAAATGTCAATTTATCATTAAAATTTATCTCAGAACCCTGCACTTTATCCCCAAAGTTCTTGTTGACATGCAATTATCCTATTTGTAGATAAATTTCTAAGTAGCATTTTTAATTACTTTTTTGTAAGCAATCTTGCCCTCAGATTCAATGTAATTTCTTTCTCAGTTGTACCACTGGAGTATATATTTTCCATTAATTTACATGACCTATTTGGGGTGTATAGGAACTGATTGTTGGTGACTACAATCGCAGCTGCCTGCAATATAAAATTGATCTAAATCCCTCAATGGCATGCTAAGTCTATCTTTACTATTGTTTCACCACTCCAGGGACATAAAAGCAATCCGTTTGGGTTGACAAAAGATCAGATTTCACAAAACTCATTTCCTACACAGATTTTTCAATATTTTCAATAGCCCTTTTTTCTGTTTGGATTGATTGCCTAAAGGAATATGTTTATGATGAACCAAGAAATCAGGTCCCTTCTTCAAGTGCATAATGAACTCAAAAATTGATCCACTGCAAGCTGGTATCCATCTTTGTTTTTATGTTATCTAAGAAAAAGAGAGGCATCTCCTAACAAGTTACACCTGATTTAAAAATCAAACTCTGTGGATGTTTTCCTCGCAATTCATCCATCATCACATCAATCTGAAGCTATCCATCTACAATAAGGTTACCTCAATTATAGCCATCAATCTACAATAAGGTTATCTCAATTATAACCATCCATCTACAATAAGGTTACCTCAATGATAGCCATCAATCTATGATAAGGTTATCTCAATTATAACCATCCATCTACAATAAGGTTACCTCAATTATAACCATCAATCTACGATAAGGTTATCTCAATTATAACCATCCATCTACAATAAGGTTACCTTTATTATAACCATAAATATATGATAAAATTACCTCAATTATAACAATCCATCTACAATAAAGTTAGCTTAATTATATCAGTTATAACTATCCTCCTGTAATCTTATCTGTATCCTCAATATTGTAACTTCTTCAATAACAATTCATCATTTATCAAGGTACCTCAGAAAAATTACTCCTTTCTCTATATAGTTAAAATAGTAATATCAGTCCATCCTCTATCTAGTTACCATCGTAATAACACACTATCCTCTATCTAGTTACCATCGTAATAGCACACTATCCTCTATCTAGTTACCTCAGTAACAACACTCTATCTCTAATTTAGTTACCTCAGTAATAAGACTCTATCCCTAATTTAGTTACCTCAGTAATAACACACTATCCTCTATTTAGTTACCTCAGTAACAACACACTATCCCCTATCTAGTTACTTCAGTAATAACACTCCATCCCCTATCTAGTTACCTTAGTAATAACACTCTATCCTCTATCTAGTTACCTCAGAAATAACATTCTATTCTCTCTTTATCCTCTGTCTAGTAACATCAGTAATAACTTTCTATCCTCTATCTAGTTACCTCAGTAATAGCACTTTATCATCTATCTAGTTACCTCTGAGTCAGTAATAACACTCTATCTTCTATCTAGTTACCTCAGTAATAACACTCTATCCACTATCTAGTTACCTCAGTAATAACACTCTATCCTCCATCTAGTTACCTCAGAAATAACACTCCATCCTCTATCTAGTTACCTCATTAACAACAGTCCATCCTCTATCTAGTTACCTCAGAAATAACACTCCATCCTCTATCTAGTTACCTCATTAACAACAGTCCATCCTCTATCTAGTTACCTCAGAAATAACACTCCATCCTCTATCTAGTTACCTCATTAACAACAGTCCATCCTCTATCTAGTTACCTCATTAATAACAGTCCATCCTCTATCTAGTTACCCAGTAATAACATTCAACATTCAAAACACTGTCTTAAGTTAAGTACCAGATTTGACTATCGTCTTGTCTTATTTCACCACTGACTTAGAACTAAAGTAGAACTATAGACTTGACCATATCAGTGTTTACACACTATTTATTCACTGACCTAAGTACTAAATTTTACTTCTTCAGTACAATCTGCATTTGTACTACATCTGACTAACACTGACCTGTTTTAGTACTAAATTTGACTATTTTTAGAACTAACTTGTCTTAATTTTTAAGTACTAACCAGTCTATTAAAGGTACAACATCTGATTATTACACCACTATTAATTAATCCCTAATATATAAATTAGATCTAGATGTGAATGTCATAAATTGCTGTAAATGGACTAGATCCCCATTTTGACTTGTGTTAGTCAAATTGGCTAATCCTTGGTTCAAAATTTGTATTGCTAATAAAACAGTTAAAAAAAAAGTATGTCACTAAGGGAGTTAGAAAGATTCCAGTTCCCTTGACCAGAACTATTTCCCACAGCTTAATCTCATTAAATAGTCCTGGCCTCGGGAAACTGGAATCTTCCTAACTCCATGATATACTTTAACTGTATACTAACACTTGACTTTTCTTCAAACTAAATTGAATAGTTCCACTGTCAACCAGTCCAAGTACTAGATTTGACTAACACAAACCTGTCTTCGAACTAAATTTTACTTCTTCATTACTAACATTCATTATAAGTACTAGATTTGACTGCTTCAGTACTTACTTGACAGCTGTCCACTCACTGAACTGGTTTAGTACTAAACTTGACTTCTTCAGTACTGACCTGTCATAGTACTAACACTGAACTGTTTTAGTACTACATTTGACTTACACTGACCTGTCCTAGTATTAAATTTGACTATTTCAGTAAAAATCTGTATCTTAGTTCTAAATTTAACTAACACTGACTTATCCTAGCACTAAATTTGATTTGGTACTAATCTGTCTTAGTATTCAATTTGACTCAATACTCACCAGTATCTTAGTACTAATTTTGACTTAGTACTAACCTGTCTAAGTATAATGAACTAGATTTGACTACTGCAGTAATTACTTGCCAGCTGTCCGTTCTTGGCACCCACACTTCTCATCTTTTAACTACTTTTTAGTACTTACTTGACAGCTGGCCATTCTTGGCACCCACACTTGAGTCATCTTTTGCCCTGTCTGGGGGATTAGCCACTGAAAATAAAACAAAAAATCACTATTCAATGCTTATTATACTATCTATAGACTTCTCTTAACACCTTGGTGTTATTTTTAGAACATCTCAATGACATGTTCCTCCCGTCCAGGAAATGTGAGACGATTGGTCGTCATGACAATGGTTATCAGAATAAATACTTAGTGACATACAACTTAGTGGATCACTTGGAAACCATTTTCACATGACATTTTAAAATTTAGTTTGTTTCCATTAAGATTGATAGATTTCTTTTGATAACATTCTATTACTGGTTGCTGTAAGTTTCTTGATGTGGTAAAGTCTCCAACAATACCCAAAGTATTGAACACATTCATAATGGATGATAATTCTCTCTTAAATTTAACCAAATGCTTGCTTATAGTCTTACTTACATCTCTTTAAAAGATATGGTGTAACTAAAGGTCATCTTTTAATATAACTGACAATTAGATTTCAAATATACATATAAACAAATTCATGTGAAGACAAAAAGTTAGCATTGATTTTCTGCTGAAGATTTGAGCATTGACAGATTGCATGTCTGGACACAGTTTTCTGTTGATATTCCGGAAAGTCTTCAGACAAATCTATATTCCAAAGACTGTGACCATTCTGGAATCTGGTCAGCAATGAGTTAGAGACATTAACAGACATTGGTCATAAAGACAATGGCCATAAAGACAATGGACATAAAAAGGGGATTTGGACAAGACCCAGAATTATGAAAGTTATACCATTAAGATTGACATTCCATTATTTGCTTATTTTATTACCACTTTGATCAATTTTCTTGGTTACCATGTAGAAATTAAGAGAATTGACTCTTGAACATGAAATGGAAGCATGCAATTAAACACAAACAAACTAGGAAACAAATATGCCAACATCCCTGTCCTTCTTACTCTGTATCCCCCCTCTAAGGATGTGTCTAGTGTATTGATTCCTCTGTGAAATCTTTGCGTCATCCACAGTTTGTATCAACAAATCTACAGATGACTGTAAACAAAAAATTGACATCAATTTATAAGGCATGATACTCTTTGAACATAACCAGACTGAAAGTTAACATTTAGTGACATTACACAACTCAAAAGCCTCTGTCAGTACAGACAAAATGATTGTGTGATATCTTCAAAACCATGTGGATGTCAACAGACATATAATTGCCTTTTATTTTAAGTTTTCATTTAATTACTCCATGTTCAATAAAATTAGGGACATGTTAGTTATGTACATCAACCAGACAGAACACATATTGAATTCCTGCTCTTTTTTATTTTTAATTCTTCAAACGTTCCTCAAATTGGCTTTACTAATGAAAAGCAGTCAGTGCTTGACAATGCCTCACAAAAAGGCAATGCAAAAGGAATTTAGCATTATTTTTGGTTTTGTTTTTTTTTAATAAAGATAAAATTGAGAGTGTCTGTATAATAATTCAAATATGCTCCTTTTTAAATTCACCAACACACATACAGTTAATTGATTGTTTGTTTGTATGTTGTTTAACGTCTCTCTCGAGAATTTTTCACTCAATGACATATGGAGACGCCACCACTTGCCGGTGGAGAGCTGCAAATTTTGTCCTATACTCGGCACTTAGGGCCATTGAGCAGTGAGGAATCTTTTTCGTGCCAGCACCTACTGCGACACGGGACTTCGGTTTATATGGTCTCATCCGAAGGACCAGTCTCCATGTCCCACAGTGGGATTCGAACCCGCGACATAAGGATCAACTCCTTACTTCACGACTCTAGAGCAGAAGCTCTAACCACTGCGCCACGCGGGCGACCACATACAGTTGTGTTAAAGAGATAATATGCTATTTATTTCGAAATTGTCTCATTTAAAATCACTCACTTGCGATGACAGCAAAAATTTCCAAGTATACAATATGTCAATTCTTTGGTTTCTTTAATTACAACCCTTGAAGCTTTAGTTCACTAGGCCTGTAGTGCATAATCTTTATATATAATCTTTCTATATTACATTTTTGTTAGTATACATCTTTTCTTGATATATCAGAAGTATAGTCATGTACAACAACATCCCTGCTGATACACTGGCATCCTTCTGTATCATTTAGAAACTGAAAAGTTTTCTGCAATTTGATCAGATACTGAAAAAAATTAAAAACAAAAAACCTTTGGTTTCTCTATTCCTCATTAGTAGTAGTATTGATATATATATATCACACAATACAACAATTTATAACTGTAAACCAGAGCCGGGTTTTTACCAGTTCTTCATTATTTTCTCCAACTTGAAACTTGGTGGTAGTCAACAAAGACAGCTAGCCTGATGTGAATTCATCATTTTCATAATTGAGGTGGTTGTTACTGGGCCTTATTACTGTAAACAAATCCTCCTTCAAGACAACTTCACAAATGTGCAATTTTTTTTTTTCCAAATATTATATTTGAGAGGTTTTCATAGACAATTTTGGCATTAACTACACTAATCTAAGATAAATATGCATAATAAATACTTTTACAACACAATCTAAGTCTTGTATAATTTTAGCAAATCAAATAGCAAAACATAAAACTATATCTTTATGGAAATACAAATTTATCAACTTGTATCTGAAGATATTCGGATACAGTCATCCTAAGTCACCAAGGTGTAATTTTTTTTTTTCATAAAAATCCTGATTAGTTTGTGACTTCATCAATACAAATCACCATGTTTATAATTATAAAACATAATTTTCTCTCCTTTTCAATGTCCTTAAGCACATCAATCATAATGATCAGAAGGTTGCCTAGCAATAACATTTGGTTGCTTAGTAACAGTTCTAGGCCTTAGTGATTTATAATTATTATATCTCTTCATCATCAGCCTACCTGGAGAATAAATCATACACCATCTTACAATATTATCATGGGATATAAGCTTATTGTAAAATAAATCATCCTGAAAATAACAAACCTACTCCATGATGAAGCAACACCCCTTTGTTGGGTTACTGATAACTTGGTTATTGATAAAAACTACTTCAGTTGTTTTTATCAATTTTTCATATTATTTAGCTACAAACTTTCACATTACTTAATTTACTTATGAAATAATTTTATTCTAAATACCTTCATCTTTAAATTTAAGAATTTTCAAGGAAATGATGACAGACCTACAGAGTTTTTGCAAATTTCTGTCGTCTAGCTAGGAATTTATCAGAACAAGAATGAAGCTCCTTCTAGGTGACAATATAAACAAGTCTAACTTAGAATTTGCAGAATCTAAATAAGAAATAATAATTAACAAATGAGTATCAGGAATTATCTCTGATCCTCAAAAAAAGGAGGAATCTTCAAAACAAAAATAAACAAGTCAATTAAATAAACATGTCCCTCTTCCCCCCTCCCAAATCCTTAAAATCACACAGAGAAATGTAATCCTATATTAATTGAAACAAATGAATTGGAGTGCATGCGAATTAATATATCTATATTTGTCTTATTTGTCAACTTTTCAATGTTCTGCCACAAAAATGAACATGTATTCATTCATAGTCTACTTAAATATGACAGACAAATCTTTAACATGAACTCTTCACCTTGCTGGATTGAGTTATCGGCCTTAACAGCAAAGTGTTAATTAATCTGATGAAGGTTTTATCTACAATACCTGAAATATAAAGTTTATTGTAATGATCTGTCAGTTAGAGGATTTTTTTATCATTATGATGTAACACAAAAACAGTTCTATAATCTCTGAGGTACTATTCTGTTAAAATTTTATCTTTCTCATTAAACTTTGAAAATTTATGCTCATTTTTGTAAATGAGCTTGAAAAATTGTGTTAATGATCATAAAAAATAGAAATGAAATCAACAGAATACTTCACAAGATTTCTGATAAAAAATTTTGCACTTGATCAGAATATCCCCTGAAATATTCTCAGATCTAATTTATTTCTTAAATACACAGATTAAGGATCAAACTTTTTTTTTTCAAACATCAGCAATAAGTCTAATAGATTTATCTTCATATAGATATATTGAATTATGTTATCCAGTTCAGAGTAAATATAGAAATTTTGTAAGATTTTATAAAAATGTCCTTTGTGCAAAAATTTGTATAGATTTATACAAAAAATGACATTAAGTGGGATATTTGCACCACAGAATACTTAAAATTTCTTTAAATTCTAATAATTTATTTATAACTTACATGATATATGTCATTTCTATTCAAAATCATGCAGTCAAAAATATATACAAATCCATGCATCAGATTTTTGGTTTGTGTTATTTATCCTTAAGGACATACGCAATGTAGTTTGAACTTTATTGTCTTTTTCCCTGGAGTTGAAGAGTTCCAATACTCAAAGGAACTGTGTGCTGCATTTTAAGGTTTATATATGCTGTTGTACACTTTTTCTAAAACAAGTTTGGATGAACAAAACATCTAGAATATATGTTTAGTAATTTTTGTATATTTTTCTTTGAATTATACAAGATTTTTCATCAATTGATAACTTTTCAAAACCCCTGGTAATGCATGCTGATTTTTTGTCTACAAACATCTGATGGCACTATAATCTTAAATTAAGAATATCTAGAAAAATTATCAGTAGGTAAGGTACGTTGCGTATGTCCTTAAAGCTAAATCTTTACATTAGTTGCTCAACGATCAGAATTCCCACTAAAATTACCACAAAGACCCTACGTCACCCATCAGACAAGAAAGCAGTTGTTTTATGCTTAAAATTCAGGTGAGCAAATGACTAGCAAATTGACCAGTAAAAAGAAAAAATTAATTTCCTACTAGAGGAGTGACAGATGAGCCAACTCTGGGGAATTTTTTAGAATGATACTTACTCAGATATACAAGCTGCAAATTCCTCTCACAACACAGAAGTGAGTGTGTTATCTCCCTCCGTCAAAATTAGACTTAAAGTTTGATTTTTATCGAGGTCTGGAATTCGGCTTTAAGTTTGGAATACACCCATTTTTTTCTTCTAAATACAGATTGGTGTTGCGTCAAAGGAAAAGCAA